TCTTTTCAGGCAGAGATCAAGCATCAGCAGTCCCTCTCTGTGGGTCGGACACTGATTCCCCTGGTACAAGATAAAACTAACAAGATAAAACCAGGCCCAACCCCGACTCGTCCTTGTGAGCAAATAAGGACAAAACAAGCTGTGGTACCATCCCAAACGACCACTAGAGACCCCACCCCGAACACGTGCAATAAGCCCCATGCAATTAATTAATTAGGATATGGATAAGGCCTTTTGGAACAGGCGTGAACTCCTGAGACTGTAAACACATATTCATGGAACAAATTATACATAAGCTGCAGAAGTGCATCTCAGTGTGGTCGACAGGCAGGGAGGTGCCCCTGGGGATAAAGTAATGATGTTTTTTTAAGCTCAGACTGGTCTCAAACTTTTCTCTCCCGGTTTTAGGTCAAAACGGGACTCGAACGCGCAGACTCCGGAGCTCGAACGCCGCGGGGAGGGAGGGGCAAGTCCTGCCCGTCCGCCCGATTGGGTCTCGAACCCGCGGCATCCCCCTCCGGCCGGGCCGCCCGCCGCGGTGCCGGTCGGCGTGTTTCCGTCAGGCGCGGCACGGGCAGCCCGCGGCAGGTCCTAGCGGGCGCGGCTATAGGCGGCGGTCGCGGACCTTCCTCCTTCTTTACTCGCTCGGCAGCTGCAGGGAGAGGATGGGTGAGCGCGGGGAGCGAGGCCGGGGCTGCGGGTGGGCTTGGGGCTGGGTTTGGGGCTGGGTTTGGGGCTGCGGGATCCCAGGGAGGGTCCGCGGGGCTCTGCACTCCCTGCCCGCCCGCTCGCAGCCGAGTGGGTGCTGTGCGGCCAGCGCTGAGGGCGGTGGGGCCGCGGCCGCCATTTCCCGCCGCATGTCCGCCACTGCGTCACACGGCCTGGCCCGCCTCACCCTCTTTCCCCTCACCATCCTCCCTTCTCACCCCCCGCAGGGAAGTGCCGAGGCCTCCGCACGGCTCGGAAGCTGCGCAGCCACCGCCGCGACCAGAAGTGGCACGACAAGCAGTACAAGAAGGCGCACCTGGGCACGGCATTGAAGGCCAACCCCTTCGGCGGCGCCTCCCACGCTAAGGGCATCGTCCTCGAGAAAGTGTGGGTGCACAAACGGGTTCGGGGTCCACAGCCCCTAGGATGGGGGTACAGAGTCTCTGGGAAAAGGCCGGAATTGGGCGCTGAGACCCCCGGGATGGGGCTGTAGAAACCCCGGATGCAGCTCTTGTCCTGGGATGGGAAAAAACAGAATTAATTTTTTATTTTAAGAATTGGGGGAATAAAACAGGAATTTATTTCAAAAATTGGTAAAAAATAGGAATGTTAAACAAAAATTAAGGGGAAAATATGTTTTTATTGGAAAGAATTGGAGAAAAAAATCAGAATTTTTCCAAAAGTGGGAGAAAATAGGGAACTTAGTCAAAGCTTAAAGAAATAGCACCTTTTTTTCCTGCAGAAATTGGGAAAATCAGGGGTTTGGCACAACATTAAGGAAAACTGCATGTCTTGTGTCAAAGATCCTACCTACTTCTGGGGGATTTTTTTCGCTTTAATAATTTTAAGCGTCATGGGGATGCTGCAAGCGCTCTCTTTTTTGACCAGTGTTTTCTAGTTTTCAGGAGGTTTTCCCCTCTTTTTTATGCTTTTTCAGGATTTTACTGAATTAGTATTAGTCTGTAGGTGATTTAAATTTTACTCTGCATAGGAAGTGGTGGTTTATATATTGATATACGTTAAATATGTTTATTTATTATAGAGAATACATTATATAATATATGGAGTTATTATATAGTCATTAAATATTTTATATTCATATATTGAGTGGCTCTGACCAGCTCAGAGTTTCTGAAGTACAGAATTAGCTTACACTGAACACAAAGGAAAACAGTAACTCGTGGGTGTGTAACAAACCTCCTGGTCCATCAAACAGATGGGGTTTTTCTGACTTATTTCCATTGCAGTGGAGTAGAAGCCAAGCAGCCCAACTCTGCCATCAGGAAATGTGTTAGGGTCCAGCTGATTAAGAACGGCAAGAAAATCACAGCCTTTGTCCCCAACGATGGCTGCCTGAACTTCATTGAGGTAATTCATCTAGAAGCTGTATTTTGCAGTGGAAAATAAAGACATTTACTCTGCTAATTCTCATTTAACGTGTGCAAGTTTGATCTGGGGTGGTTAGACAAGGGCAGTGTGGAGCGTAGCCCAAATTGAGGGTGGTTAATCCCAGATTTGTGCACGGATCTGATATTTGTGCTCCCCATGCCCCGGTTTTGGTTTTTGCAGGAGAACGATGAGGTGCTGGTGGCTGGGTTCGGGCGCAAGGGCCATGCCGTTGGGGACATCCCAGGGGTCCGCTTCAAGGTGGTCAAGGTGGCCAATGTGTCCCTGCTGGCGTTGTACAAGGGCAAGAAGGAGAGACCAAGATCATAAACCCATGTCCTGACAAGACGGTCAATAAAATCCTTGTTCTGAATGAGTTCTGTGCTTCTTACTGAGGGGGGGCTGGAGTCAGTCATAAAACTCTACCCATAGAAACTAAAATTACATTTATTTCTACATCTGGCCAAAAAAAAACACCCCAAACCCTAATGTTTCTCTGGGACTACTGAATTCATCGGGGATCAAAACATCCCCTGGAGCAAGCTGGGAGGGAGGAGAAACTCCATGAATTTTAGTGCATAATTGTGAAAAATGTGAGCCTTCCCCACATCAAAAATGGTCACTGGGAGTGCTAGAAATGGTGTTTGTGGCAGCAGTTCTGGTCCCTGGTGTGAACAGACACAGAACTTGCTAGGTTTGAGTCCTGAAGGGATTACTGAATCACATATCCAACCTCGGCCCACACAATTTCACCCAGTGTTGAGCGCAAATTAACAGGTTTTTTTATGGCAAGGCTGCCCGATTTGAAGGCACCCATTCAGTACACTCCCAACCTGTCACTACTGTGCAGTCACTTGGGTGTCTCTTGAGCTGGGCTTTCTGCCTTCTTACCTAGACAAAATACAGTGCAGTAAAGCCTCAAAATATGTGACTGAAGTCAGTGTGAACAATTCTGTTGTTGCCATCGCAGTTCATCTGTGTATTAACCAAAAGGCTCAATTGCTTCAATTAGTGTTCATTCATTTATATAGAAATTTATATGAAAATTCAATAACTTCCATGAAAATGGAGTAACAATCTAAGAACAGGTTCAGGGTCTTTGCTGGCATTTGTGTAGCAAAAGGGGTGCCGGTAAAATTCCTTGGCGGGGGGGACAGGATGGTGACTGTCAACCCTTCCAAAGAGGAACACTCAAAGGGAGCTAGGGCAGCTTCCCCAAGCCGGGCCCTGTCGTGATGTCATGTCGCCACTAGATGTCGCGACTGGTACAAGGAGGGGAAAAGCCAGAACAGAAAAGGTTCGAGCTAAAAAAGTTGTGGACTTGGAACAAAGGAAATCTTCAGAATCGGGAAATTCACCGTGTGCACACCCAAACTGCGGCTCCACAGAGGAAAGAGAGGTTTTGGGGTGAACTCACCTGGAACCTTGGGGCAGGAACAGGGAAGAGAAGAGCACAGGTTTGGTTGAATTTGGGTCTTTTTCTCTTTTTTTTACAAAATTCAACCAAATCCAGCTCTCATGCCCTGTGGAGCCACAGCCACACAGGCGAGTTTCCTAGTTGGAAGATTTCCTTGGTGCTGGTGGGGGAGAGGCTGGACATGGCCCAGCACAGAAACCTCCCCATGCCCTGGGCTGATCCCACAGTGGGGGCAGCAGGGCAGGGGGGGATTCTGCCCCTCTGCCCACTCAGGTGAGATCCCACCTGCAGAGCTGCCTCCAGCCCTGGGGGCCCAGCACAGCCAGGACATGGAGCTGCTGGAGCGAGTCCAGAGGAGGCACCAAGATGATCAGAGGGATGGAGCAGCTCTGCTGTGAGGAAAGGCTGAGAGAATTGGGATTGTTCAGCCTGGAGAACAGAAGCTTTGGGGTGACCTTACAGTACCTAAAGGGGCTAAGGAACATGGAGAGAGACTGTTTACAAGGGCCTGGAGTGACAGAACAAAGGGGAATGGCTTCCAACTCTCAGAGGGCAGGATTAGATGGGATATTGGAAGGAATTCTTCCCTGTGAGGGTGGTGAGGCCCTGGCACAGATTGCCCAAAGAAGCTGTGGCTGCCCCGTCCCTGGAAGTGTCCAAGGCCAGGTTGGACGGGGCTTGGAGAAACCTGGGATAGTGGAAGGTGTCCCTGCCCATGGCAGGAGGTGGGACTGGATGAGTTTTAAGGTCTCTTCCAACCCAAACCAGCCTGGGATTCTGTGATTGTTTCAGTGCTCAGGATAACTTGTGTTGCCTGGATACTGCAGAAAGAAGTCAGAGGAAGATGAGCTGAGCAAAACCTCATCATCACGTCACTATTAGAGGGGTTTTAAGCCTAATAAATATGTGTTACATAACCCATATCCTCCAAAACAGAGAGGAATCCATCCACAAAGATCAGAGAAGACAAGCAACTCATGCAATAGACACCGCTGTCCCCGCTCCTTCTTCATCAGCAAAGCTAATTAATATTTTCTAATAATAAAGCAGTTGGATAATCATTTGACGCTAGCAATACCTGACTCAAAAATAACATTACTGCAGGAAAAGATGCAGTTTTCCAATGGGCTTGAAGAAAAAGGTGTCCTGTAAATCCATCCTCTGCTCAAACAAAGCAGTAAAATCCTATCTCACCTTAAACTGAATTCATCTTCAGTAGGTGACAGCTACAACAAGCTCTGAAGTGGTGGAGAGAAAGATTTCTCATGGTTCAGGATTTTTTAAGATTTTAATGAAATCCAGAACACAGAGATAACAGGTATGACACCTTCCTGAACATTTAATATAGGGTTAGTTTTGCAGCTGTGAGCTTCAGGTAGGGTTTTTTTAATTCTAGGTGGTAAGAATTTACTGCTAAGAAATGCTCTAAACTCACTTTTAAAGCCTATGTTACTAAAAACGGGCACAGATACTCATACACACACTGTTCTCTAGAAGAGAGAATTTTTCAGGAAACAATTTTAAGTTCACTGTTCAGAGGGAAGAGCAAACATCCTTTCTTTGTGCTGGAATTGGAATTTACATGTATGTAATATAAACACAGATGTCCAAACAAACTCATGAAACCAACACCACAGCAAACGGGGGGGGGAAAAAGTTACTGAGACAGTTTTGGTGAAATTCATGGAGTTGCAACAAGAATTAATTACATCACTGTACTTAGCTGTAACTAACTAGTTTAACATTTAGTGCATGGAAAGGAATGTTCCTGTTAGTAACCAAAACCAACCAACCTCAAACCTCCTGGCAAGGGGTTGAATTCTTACCTGGTCATGCTGACACAAATGAAGGATTATGTAGGTAAGTGAGCAGCTGCATTACACAGGAAAGCACATTTTTTGGCTTAAGTGAATACATAAAAATAATTATTCTTGCTGATTCCTGTAACCAAGGGTTACAAGAGTCTGTTCTCTTAAAAGAAGTCCCCAGAAGCAAAGGTCCTCAATGTGTCTTCCCAAATTAGCAAGGATGAGCAACTGAGCTAATCTACAAAACTCTCTGGAACTGGAAATTTTCTCTTCGTAAGCAGATAATGCATGTAGACAAAACCCAAGTTCAGATGTAAGAATATTCAGCAGATTTGCTAAGTAAAATCACAAAATAGTGCCACAATTCACTTGATTTAAAAAATTTTTAAAAATCAGAATTTTGGTACATAAAAACTCTGTTAAAAATATCCTAAGTCATCAAGACATAAATGTAAAATGGTAAATTGGGTCCCTACCTCCCAATTACCTATTTCAGCCATTACAAAGGAGACATCCAAACAGGATCTCTTCTTGATCACAAATATTTATGTTATCCTGTATTTCTTCCTCTATCAAAGCTCAGTGTATTTGTAACTGAGCTGAATTTTGGTTTTCTAGGGAAATTTCAGGGAAACATTGCTGCTGATGATGACACTGCTCTGTTACCTTGTTGTTTATGCTGTTAAGAGGTTTAGAATCATTGAGAATGGGCATTGAGACTTCTTCCATGTAAAAGAAAAAATATTTACTTCCCTCCATATACAAATTCCACTTTTTGAAGGCTGGCTGCTCCCACTCCTCTGTTCCAGGGTATTACAAATGAAGATCACAGAGCAGGGAAGAACATTTAACAGATCTTAAAACTGCTGTTACCTGGTTTTTGTTGATTTTTCCTCCTGTCTAAGTCTCGGTGAAATTTAAAAGTGGGCCACTGATGCAATTACCAAACGTGTTACCGGAAGTGTTAAAAAAAAGCAACGTAGCTGTTGGCTGCATTTTATAAATCTCACATGGAAAAGTGGCTTTTTCAGGTTGTTATGATCCAGAACAAGATAAATGATGTGCTTTCATTATTAATTCCAAATGGCTGGCAAAAGAATTCTACACCGATGGAATTTTAGAGACTGCACTCTGTATTTCTTGTCCAGTAAAGACACATGATGTAAGTTTAAAGCCTAGAATCTGGAACCTGATGCATACCAGGTTCCCAGTTCTCATGTGGCACACACTGGGCTCTGGGTGCAAGTGACACATTGCTGAACATGTAAAGTAAAACCTGTGGTTCCATCCCAGGGCTCTGGTTTACACTACAAATAAAATGGGATGGAGAGAGGAGCCAGGATGGGTTGTGTGGAAGTTACTTGCAATGTGATTTTCAGTGGCAGCACCACCATGCAACTCCCCAAACAGCAGGGTAGGGAATAAACCTGTGAACAGCCAGGAGTACAATGAGAAACACTAATTGAGTGGAACAGCCACTCCCACAGGGAATGGCAGAGCTTCCTCTGCAGGCCATGGAAGAGCCAGATGTTCTCACGCAGCTGCATCAGCCACCTGAACTCCAGAACTGAAGGTGCTCACTCAGAGGGAGGCTCCAAGTTCCCTGTTTGTTACAATCCCGATCCTGTTTGTTCCCTGCAATATTCTCAGAGAAGCGTTTCTCAGTCCAGAATGAGGATTTTGTGTGGTGTGGGATATGAGGGAGGTCCGTCCCTCAGGCTGTGGTGCAGAAGGTGGTTCCCAGATGAAGCAGTCTCAGCCCATGCACTGGGTGCCACTACCTCACACCACGTCCCACAGGCACTTTGCTGTGTATGCTTTGCACTTGCCACCTCACAGGTTTTCTAGAGGTAGTTTTTAGTAGATCCAAATCCAGTAACTCCACTCTGTATCAAGGAACCACAGGCTTGTGCATCTCTGTGCAGCCTCTCCAAGGCCACAAGCATAGGAGGTGGTAGAAAAATGACTTCAAGAGCCAATGCAGTCACAAGGGAGTTCAGGTCTTGGTGGTGCTGCAGAGGTGTTGCCACAACTGCAGCCAACAATTAAGTCTTCCACTGTAATCAGTGGCCATTGTCTACCAGCCAGGAAGGATCCCTTTGACTTCACCCCTAGGGGAGCCTGCAGCAGCTCACCATCACCTGTCCTTCAGCTCAGAGTTCTGGAGAAGAAACATCAATCACAAAAAAAAAGAGATTAAATTGAAATCCTTGCAGCAGTTATGCCAGATCACACCACCAACTGGCATTCATGGAGGGTGTCAGCAATGTCCAAGCACTTCTCTCTCAGCACAAATTCTCATTGCAAAATAAGGAAGGTAAGCAAAATATTGGAAGGTGAGTCCTGGAAGTGAACTGGCCCAAGAGTTCCAAAGGAGAAGGTAATGGTTCTGGCAGTTATCCATCAGACCTTTCTAACAGGAGGATGGGAGAGGAAAAGGTGGTTTCATTTTCTCTTACCTTTCAGATGAATCAGTGCTTGAATTCTGCTCAGGTGCTACTTTTGCATAACTCAGAGGCACATTGAGACCCACAACTGGGCCTACAGTACTGAGCCACAGAATAATGTAATTTTTGTGCCTAGGGGAAAAAAACCACAAAAAAAGCATCATAAATATATTATTCCAACTTCTTCTGAATTGCAGACAGACTCAACAGTCATAACTTCAGATAATTTCCTTCACTTTATCAATAGCAAATATATTTTAACTTTCTGTGACAACACAGAAACCTTTAGACCAAGGAGGTTGTTTTGGCCGTTTCCACTCCTCAGCTGATTTACTTTACCTGCACTGCACAAAGACTTGCAAGGGCCAGGAGTGCCTCTTGCCTGTTGTGCTTCTCACCTGTTGTGTCTCCATGGGCCAGTCAGCACAGTGGAGATGAATTCATTAGTTCTGCAGGGGTGCAGAACGTAAAAGGGCTGCCCAAGGATGGGGTGCTCCTAGGAGGGAAAATCAGCTGCTTTATTATGGAAGGAAAAAAACAGAAAATACACACCACATGCATTTGGAAAAGACAGAGAAGAGTCCAATTAATCCCTGATGCACCTTTTCTCACTTCAGAATCTAACCCACATTGCTCTTCCACTGATCGTCATGACAAATTAAGATATACTATACATATTGTACACTAATTAATATATATTCTTCACTCTTAAAAGGGAAATAAGATCACCAACCAGACTGTGCCACTATTTTAGTTAAAATGTAGTGGTTTGCAAAAGTGACTCAAGTTACTGAAGCAGCATTGCCTGAATGCAAGGAGGCAAAGCTACTGTGTAAACAAGAGTCTGATCAAGTGTAATACATAAAACCAATCCTCTCAGTAGAAAAGCGCTTCAACAACCTTGAGCTCTTGTATCTTCTCAGACTGGTGCTGGGAAGTACTTTTTTTATTTTTATATATGTAATTTTTTTATTATATATATTTTTATTTTTAAATTTTTATTTATATTGCATTTATGCTCTGATACAGATTTCCCTTGTCCAGCTGCAGCCAGCCTCCCTGAGTTCTGTGGTGGCATTTTACCTTAGCACATAGTAAATTTCTGGCACAGAAGAGAAGATGCAAAGTCTTCGTGCCACACAGGAGAAAATCTTTCTCCAATCCCCTGCCTGGAAACAAAACCCAAATCCTAACCTGTCATCTTCAGCAGGTAGGGCATCTTTAATACTATTAACTATTGAACTATTGATACTATTAATAATTAAACTATTACAGCTGAAGGACATTTGGTTCTTATGCTGAAAATGTACTCGTGAGGATCAATCATTTTATGCCTAAGAGAAAAAAAGTTCAAGAAGTTTCAGGATGTACAAAAAAATAATGTTCAAAAAGCTTTGTTTTACACCACAAACAAATAATCTGCACAAGAATACTACCATCTACTGTTGGTAAAAGTGAATTGTTGATGCAGTTTTCCATTGAGAAAAACTGCTAGTCTGAATTAAAAAATCCTTTTCATTATCTCCTAGCTCAAACCAGCTTAGGTCTCCAAATAATTCCAGAGAATATACAGATTGTGCCAATGGTATTTCTTAAAGATAATAAAAAATATATAGTTGACAATATTTACAAAACTGTTAAGCAAAGGAAAAAAAAAGTAAATTGTGCAAAAATGTCAGCAAATTCCCTTATGCAAGGAAAGAGTGTAAAAAGGCTGCACATACGCCCAAAAAGAACAAAGAATGTAACCTGAGCTTTAAGTGACTTCGCACTCTGAACAAGGCATAAAGATAATTCCCAAAGCTGAATATTAATCCTGAAGTTATCCCAACCTGCCCCCTGGCATTTGATTCCATCTTGCACTTCTTGCTTCAACAAATCACCAGTGAGTGACACATGGAGGTTGACTTGACTTTTCAAAACAGCTTATTAAAATTAAATTCTACATCTTTCTTCTCTCAGTTCTTCCTCCTCTCACAACTTGACAACAGAGTGACACTGAAAAAACTCCCAAACTCAAGAGTTCTATGCTATTCCAAAGACAGGAAAATGTCACACACTGACAGGAAAACCACAAAAGCACAGGGGTTTAAAAGAAATACTGAGCCAAAACCCATTAAGGAGGAGCCTCTAAAAAGGGAAAAGGCTGAGGCAGGGAAGAAGAGCTTGTTGAGCACCACGGAAAACACTCCGAGAGCATCAGCTCTGATTCAGTCAAATCCTGAATTCCAAAGCCTGTACATAATGGCATCCCCGGGAGGCTTTTAATGTACACTCAAGGTTAAATCACTGACACAGCAGCTCTGAGGAGGAAGCACTGGGCAGGTGCCAATAAAAATGCAGGAGTTATCAAAGCCCTGGATGATTTCAGAATTGGTAACAGGCTGCAGAGCCTGCTCAGGTTTGGTCCAGGCTTGACCAGCCAGGGCTCATTATTATACAACACCTGGACAGGCAACTGCCACTCAAAGTGCCATTAATTACTGCCCTGAGAGAGGGCTGGGTGTCTGCAGAGGGATGAACCTCAAGTCCTTCCCAAACACCATAAAAAATGTGAAAATGAACAAAAGTTTGTGCTGCATCAGCTTCATGAGCATATTTACTACCTGCTGCAGTCACCTGGTGGAACAATGACACTCCACATGCAGTGAAATGTATCCTGCGCAAAATACTAGGGCAGCAATAATACCCTTCATCTACCCTGATCCATGGGTCAGACACATGAAAACTATAAAGTCCTACTGAGACTTTATGCAAAAAAACCCCCAGTACAAACAGTATAAAAGAATCCTTCCATTTTTAGTTTACAATTAATCTTTTTCCAATCGGTCATGTAGCAGTGTAGGGTGCTGCAAGTCCATTCCCACAAGTATTCTCTGCACTGTACTGCAACAACTCATTTGCAGGCTGCCCACAACTCTTCTGGGCAGTAATACACTGACACACAGTTTATCTGACATCAGCAGCATTATTCTCCTGGATCTGTCTATGATTTTGGATCTATCTACCTGTGAGGCTGATTCATAACTCTGCTTGCTCAGCACTGCACGCTGGAGTCCATCACACATCTGCATATCCCTGAGTCTGACCCAGCTTTGATGGGAAATGAATATTTTTAAAGGCAGGAACTAATTCTGTTGAGTTTGAAAGCCCAAAATGTTGTTTCATTTTTCTTCTGTAGAAAGACTTCTTTACTAGGTGACTTCTAGATGTGTAAGGACGTTCTGTACCAGTTTCTGTAGCTGTTACCTCAACTCCTCCCATTAAAAAAAAAAAAACTTGCAAGAGAGAGATGGATGAGTGACATGAAATGTTTCATTGGGCAGTTTGAAAATGAATTATAGAATCACAGAATGGTTTGGGTTGGAAGAGACCTCAGAGTCCATCCAGTCCCACGCTCTTCCACAGGCAGGGACACCTTCCACTATCCCAGGTTGCTCCAAGCCCCGTCCAACCTGGCCTTGGATGCTTCCAGGGATGGGGCAGCTACAGCTTCTCTGCGAAACCCATTCCAGTCCCTCACTACCCTCCTAGGGAAGGATTTCTTCCCAATATCCCATCTAACCCTGCCCTCTGACAGCACAGCATTCCCTGTTCCTCAGCTGTGCAGGTACAACCCTCCATGCACAGGTGGTGAGTAGGGAAATGTCAAGACATGAATCTCAACAGTAGCAAAGACTGGGCAGCTCCCACGTACAAGTCTAATTCAGACTAAAACTTCTGTCAGACTGGATTACATCATTTTATCAAGCAGTCTCCACGTCAGATCTAAACCAAAAATAAACATCACTTCAGGTAACAGGTATGTAGTATCTGTGCTCTCCTGCTCTCCCCCCCAGCCAGCAGGAGTTTTGTTGTCAGTACATCTCCTGTAACAGCACCATTTATTTTCTCTGTCATAACTGCAGCTCTTCCAGAGGTAATGGCTTCTGTGCCATTTTCTCCAGTGCTACATTAAACTGCCTTCGAGCATCCATCACAACATTTATAGTCTCTCCATTGATGATAGTGCAAGGGATTTGCGCCCAAAACTGCCTCTGTCCTGATCTGGTTTGCATGATGCTGCTTTGCAAAAATAAATCTGTGGAGGGGAGTCAAAAATTTCATGCAGGATTCCTACCAGCAAACACCACAGCCTGTGTCAATTGATGTCAGACATTTTCCCAGCACTTCTCACAGTCCCAGTCATCAGATCAGAAAAAGAAGGCATAATTAATAAAATATGTCCCTGTAATCTCTTCCATGTAGCAAAAGGAAATAGTGATATAATGAATAAAGAGGATGCAAGCTTTTCCGTTTTTCCCAATTTTTGACCACATTTACTGAAGCAAATGCCTGGTCTTGAGTAAAAATTCTTCTCTCAAGATTATACCCTAACTAATTTATGTTCTTGAATTCACGGTCTGTCATCTTCTTTTTCATTCCTTATTTTTATATACATCAGTAATAACTTACTTGTCAACAAAATCCAACTCTACACAATCAGAAATAAGGTAGTAACATTTTTCTCTTCAGACTGACCCTGTGTCCCACAACCAGAACAGTAACTGCATGCTGGGAACTTAAAATATGTTGAATTTGAGGGATTTTCCTCTAATAACAGAATTACTTCAATGGAAACTCTGTTAGTATGAAATCAGTACATTGCAGATGCAACGTTAAGGAACTGTAATTATAATCCTCAGAGAAGATGTAAATAATAGTAATAAAGCTTTTGATAGCATACTAATTGTATAGGGCTTCTCCATCCTACTGACTTAGGGCTACTGGGGAGAAATCCTTCCCTGAGAGAGTAGTGAGGGACTGGAATGGATTTTCCAGAGAAGCTGTGCCTGCCCCATCCCTGGAAGTGTCCAAGGCTAGGCTGGATGGGGCTTGGAGCAACCTGGGATAGTGGAAGGTGTCCCTGCCCATAGCAGGGGGTAGAACCAGATGGACTTTGAGGTCCCTTCCAACTCAAACCACTCTGGGATTCTCTGATCTGGGACAGGTAACTTACTTACAGTCACCTTGATTTCAATTTACAAGCAGAAGCCAAGCCATCCTACTGGAATTACTGAGAAATGTTTCTCTAACTTTGCCATAAAATCCAGAGAACCCATAAAATCCAGCAGCTGAAGACGGAACAACCTCCTTCTGCCTGCGACAGCTGCTGAAGAATGACTGTGAAAGTGCAACTACCACTGTTCTGCATTTTCTTAGACAGTCAAAATAAATCTGCAACAGCTCCGAGCAAGGCAAAACTTGAAGGGATTCTGATCAGACAAAAAAGTGCAAACCAGATCAAAAAAAAGCAAATTTCTGTCATTACTAAACCTCTCTTTGGCAGAAGAGGCTGCAGAGTGATTGGATTTACATCCTTTGCAGACAAGCAGTTGCAATTGCCCTGATGATTTCATGTCTCTGTTCCACATGAGTTCCCACAGACAGACCAACCAACTTTAGTGACAAATTTTTATTCATACCTTTACTACCACCAACCCCACATGGCCAATT